GTCATAACTTATGAAAAAACAAAAACTAATATTGCAGTTTAATATTAAGTATGAACTAACTAATTATTGTAAAATTACAGTTTAAGTAAACAACAAAAACTGTTTGCCCAACCTAATGCCTATACTATTTAAGTAAGTTAACTTTTAAAACTTTCTACAACTGAGTTTTCCATAATTATTTTTTACATTTTTTCACCAGTTTTGTTAGACAGGTACGACAAATCAACCACCTTTATCGACAACAAGTAGCACTACAATACCGTCTTCTTCAGTAGCATCTACAAAAGATACAACAACTTTAACAGGATCTAGAACGGGATCTACAACAGGATCTACAACAGGAATTACTTGCACAATTTCAATTATAAGATTTACGACAACAACATATACTACCTTACCGTTTAAAATTCTGAACCAGTAACGTTCACTTTTTAAATTTCGTTACATGCGACATCAGTTATAATATTGTAGAAGAATTGCCAGTGAATATAAATGAATCCACATAAGATATTCAGTGATACCATTACTTTTTAATTAACGATAAGTGTTTTTTTTTTTTTTGCTGTATTTTGTATTTGCATGCGCTGTCTGTTTAGCAGACAAATTTCTTTTACTCGCGGGGGACTTTAATATATTTTTTCCAAAGGTCGGTTACAAGTCATTTAAGTGAAAAAAAATCTGGAATGAATGCGAATGAATGCGCATACTGTAGACTTTGAGTTTTCAACCCATGCAGAGGAAATAATTGAACAGCAACAAGAATAACTTCCTCCAATGTCATTATGAATTTTTAACTCTTGTTCAGCGTAAGCAACCGATTGTGGCTAAATAATCAGGTGTTTCCCAAGAAACTGAAGCTTTTTTTTGTGCAGTTAATTCTGTATTATTACTCTATCTTATGAAAGATTAATTTTTTTTAGTAACAGTTGCTCTTTTTCCTCTAAAAACTGTAAACTAACCTTCTGTTATTTAGTGAATAGCTGGCTGAAAACTCTATAGGTATTAAAATGTATCTCAAAAAAATAGATAACAAAAGTAAAATTGGTAACTTTAATAACTTGACCGAGACATACATTAAAATCAATGACTTTACAAGATGTCTAGTACACAAGAATGTTGCTACAATTGTCTAGCGCTTTTCAAAAACATCTTTTATTGCTTTCTTTTACAAACGCAAACAGCTAAAGAGAAGTCATTTTACTGCCTAACAATGTTGAAAAAATGTTGAAAAAGTTTCTTGAAAGACCTTCATTAACTTCAAGCTGTTTTTTCACAGCTTTATCAAAACAGTTTTCTAAAAACTGCCTTGTGTTTCTGCAGGCACTTTCTGCGTCTCCAAGCTCATGTGGCTTTTCAAATCTAAATTCAGCGCACGGCCTGAGAGTCTCTGGCTTTCCTTATAATACTAATACCGTAACATATAGAAAATCTGGATAGTCCAGCCATTTGCTTACAATGTTTTGGACAATAAACAGAATTTACTTAGCTTTACGCTTCTGGTGATCTTCACCTTCATCAGGTAAGAGAACCACATTTTCAAAGATAACAAAGAGAACGAAAAGGAGGGCACAGCAAAGATTGGCAATCGGAACAGATAGAACTGCTTTCCGCTGCCAGTGTTGTGGACAGTACTAGCCTTCTCCAAAAACCTTTATTACAAACCAAAAAAAAAGTGGTTTAAGTAAGAAGGCTTGTTTTTGACGTTTTTTTCACTCTCAAACAAATACTTTGAGTTTCTAAACGTATTTTTTAGCTCACATCTGTTCCAGTAGAGGCCGCGCGCAAAGAGCCAAAAAATTTCCGAATGTTTTCTAGTTCAATTCACTCTCTGATATATTTTCAGCTGACATCTGCTTCAACGTGAATTGTGGTTATGGAGTCTGTAACGCAGAGAAAAACGGGCAATGTGAGTGTTTGCAGAACGAAACACTGTGTTTCAGAATTGCATGAGAAGCAGGGCCGTGCATAATTAATAAAAATTTGTTCCTTCAATAGAAAAAATCAAGAACTTTGGTTTTTTTCATCGATTTACAGTAGTGGAAAATAAATTTTCCGGAAATTTGAGGATGTTTAGGAAAATAATGTAATTAAAAAAGCTATTTCACAAAAACAATAAAAGATCCTTAGTCATATTGCCTGAATAATCAAGTTTTTAGTCAGTGAATTGTGCACAGTCGAAAATAGGCAGAGATGTAAAGAACATTAACACCGAGGACAGTGTATAGTAAATTTAAGCTCATGTACACACTTCGGTAAATGTAATGGTTCTGAAGAAAGCTTTGAACGTTGTTTATAATGAAAAAAAGAGGCTGTGCCTTATTCTACTGCATTTCTTTTCTGAAACCTAGAAAGATGTCTGGAGTGTACAGTCAGCATCCTTTTTGCTCACTTAATCGGCTTATCACAGTGTTGATTTTGAATTTGAGCAGCGTATTCACTTTTTTTTCAACATTTTACTGATAACAATATTTAAATACTTCTCAGTAAACTGCATTAGTCCTGTGATAAGAAATGTTCTATGATAAGAAATTTCCTCATTTTTACTTCTTTTGAAAGCATGTCTTCTGCAGGTCCTGAAAAATGTGAAAAGCTTACATTATTAAATTTTATTTTAGATTAAAAAAAGACAAAAGTTCAAAACACTTTTTGATATCTTAAAAAAACAAAAAAAAAAAAAAACATTTTAAATTTTTCAGAAAAATAAATTTTTTTAAAACATATTTCTTGCAGAACACATAAATATTGCAAGATAGTATCTTTTGAGAATTAAGAGTTACGGTGCGATTAGTGACAGCAGAAAGCAAAAAATCTCTAACCGAAGCAGCATTTTGACGCTTCGCTAGTAACAGAGACTCTGTTTCAACTAAAATTTTATTGGTTTTAATAATATTTATAATTCTGTAAAACACTTCAACTCAACTGTTTTAGTAACACACAATTAGTTAAACTTACTTGATTTTGAACAATTTTGCAAAGCCTTTTTAGAATACATCACTATTTTGACTACTTTTTCGGTATGTATCGCTTTGACTGCTAATTGAAGCTTTTCTATCGAGATATATCACACTCATTACTGTCTTTTTTAACAACCTGTATACAGAGTAGTTGAAAACTGATTAAAAAAAATTAAATCTGGCTTATAGAGATACGAAAAGTTAAAATATAACTGCCGCTTGCTTTGCTGTTTAGCTATTTTTTACTGGAACCCTTTCTGCTTCTTCAATGTTGAAACCAATTTTGAATTTTCTTTTTCTGTATAGTCGATTTTTCAGATTTGGTTATGCTATATATGAGAATTTGCTATAACACTTTTCCTGCTAATCGACTGCATTTATGTGTGCTTAGTGAGTTACGACTTCTCTATGTACTGCTGGATAATTACCAAAAATTTAAAAAATTAAAAGAAAATATTTTTTTTTTTTAATTATTTTGCTTACAGTACAATCAAAGACAATTTTCTGAATTGCAACTGTACCTTCATTCTTTGACGAGACTACAGATCTTATAAAAAAAAATCACAGACAAACGACTTCCTCAACCTCGCGTTTCCTTTTTTCACACGTAATTTGTCAAACTCTTTTTCTTTTTTTCTTTAATTTTAATTTTGATATTTTTGATGTTTCTCTTTCAGAAATTTCTGTAGTCATGAAAAGAAAAGAACGACTTCTCAGAAGTACCAGTAAAAGCACATGGATTTCTCAAAAGGCAGCCTAAGAAGTGACGAGTGTTGGCCTCTGTTGTTGTATTCATTGTCATAAAAGTTGTAATTATCGCAGTGGTCGTCGGAGTAATGGCAAGCAAACGTGGAGGTAAAGATTTCGGTAAAAACTTACTCTTCTTGTCTTATTTAGACACCTTGTGAATCAGTCTTGCTAATCATAAGAAACTGTTTAACTGATAACGTATTATACCGATAAAAAGAAGAAACTAAGCAATTTTTAACGAAGAGACTGCAAATTATCATACACTGCATGCCACCACAAACTCCTATGTTCAAGTTTTGTGCAAAGTGCACTAACATTTTAATTTTCACATTGTTACTTAAATTTCAAACCTCTGCTTTTCTTGTGACAATTTGTCGATTGCGCAGTATTCCTTCTTAACGTCAACATTCTAAGAATAAGCCTATTTTCTACTTTCATATGCTCGCTGAACCACTTTCACATGTTTCGATAAGCGAATGTACACTCGTACAGAACATTTGTGTCTGGTACTTCTAAGTCTACAAGATGCAGTCATTTTAAGCATATGTTCAAGACGTAGTATAACGCATGCCTAGCAGATTACCAGTTGCAGTAAGCATCTGTATTTTTATTGTCAAACATGCTTCTGGCCAACTTTTTACTTTAAGAACAAAGCTTTTTTGCTTATTCACATGCATGCATCGTTTAATGGTGCAATTTTTGCACAAAATTTGTTTTTTACAAACCCTGTGAAGCTTACCTGCAAACATTTCCTGTTTTCGCATTTTTCGCTCGTTGCGCTTAAATAGTTCCATAGTCTAAAAGGCTTTATCAATTAGAACGTTACAAACAAAATTGAAGGCTGATGAAAGGCGAGGAGGAAAATTCTGATTCAGAGACCTCGATTTATTCACCTTACCTGGTGCACAGTAATATTCGTCGAAAGGTTACTCAAATATACGAAAACCAGTTCGAGCCCAAACGTGTAAAACGCTCACGTTGGATTTGGATCGCGTTTGGGATATTAGGATTTCTTGTATTCATTCTCCTTGTTGCAATAATATTAATACTTGCTCTTTTAGTCTTCAACAAAAGCCAAGGTAATAGTCAAAAAGTAAATTTTAAAAACTAAGTAATATTTGACCAACAAGTAGAGTTGCTATATCTCAAGGTTTTACAGAAGTTTTTGCTCCTGGTATCAATAGTAGTTGTCGTGGAAAATATTTTTCTTAGATAGATGTATAGATATAATTTGCGTGCCACGCGCTTTTGTAGATTTAAATAAATTCTTCGAGTTGAAAACTTTATTTGGCCAGAAATATAAAAGACGAGTTAACACCAAAACATTTGTAACATAACTTATGGAAACAAAAAAACTAATATTTTAGTTTGATATTAAGTATGAATTAACTAATTATTGTAAAATTACAGTTTAAGTTACAAAGATTGATTGTTATGACATAATAAGCCAGCAACTATGAAATTAACTATTCCTCATCTGCACTATATGTTTTCGACAAATTTTTTATTTGACGACAGCAAGTATCCTAATTCGTTGTTATCATCGTATCCCGTTATCGTCAATCCTCTTTTTTTCCTTTGCTAAAATGTTGTTATTACCTTTATTAATTAAAACAAATTGCAAAACTTTCTAGAACTAACTTTCACGTTGAAGTTTTTTCTTATGACAGTTGTAAAATCTTCAACAATCTATTTATCATTCAATAGTTCACAGTTGTTAATGTAGAAGTGTATTCTGAATTTTTCTTTTTATCTTTCTTCTTTTTGACTTCTGATTGTTGAACATTATTAACGACTGACCTTTCTACTTGCCTTTAGCAACAGTAGTAATTAAAAATAACCTATTATTCTAACAAGATCCGCCGACAAAAGAACAGTTTTGCAGGCTTTTCAACCAAGGTTTTCAGCCCTAAAAACAGATCAACAATTCATTACATATTAGTACTCGATGTGCTTGCAAATGTATAATGTTTCCATCTACAAATTCAGAAGCGCAGTGAAGTACTCTGTTTAGCAGACTAGAGTAATTTTACAGTTTCTGGCCTTTCTTTAAATTTTAATTTTAATACATGTTTTG